GAATTGATATAATGACTCACATTTATGTATTACTTTAGAGTTTACAAAATATTTTGCATACATTGCTTCATTTGAGCTTGATAACAACCTGAAGTAGGCAGTACAAGTGTTAGTCTCTGCTCTATAGATGGAAAACCTGAGGCTGAGAAATTGTAACTTCTATTACATTCAACAAGCATTTATTAAGTGCCTTATGTGACAATCACTCTTAGGCACTGACGATACAAACAGGAAAACCTGCCTACAAGGAACTTAGGTTGCACTTACCCTTGGTTACAAAGCTTTAGTAAGTAGAAGAGAATTAGAACTTGATTCCTCTTCCAAATCCAGCAATTGATCACCAGATCAGGCTGCTTCTCATCTCTTGAAACTCTGCTTATTGATGTAAAGATATATAGATCACCATGAGAACAGAAATCATTTCTTCTTTTTTTGTTCCTGGTACATTTGTTGTTGTTCAGTTATGTTCAGTTGTGTCTGACACTTCGTAACCCCGTGAGGTTTTCTTGGTAAAGATCCTGGAGTGGTTTGTCATTTTCTTCTTCAGCTCATTTTACAAATAAGGAAACTGAGGCAAACAGGATTAAGTGACTGGCCTAGGGTGACACAGCTAGTGTTTGAGGCCAAATTTGAATTCAGGAAAATGAATCTTCTTGACTCCAGATCTGGCACTCTATTTACTGTTGCACTAATGCTTGCATTCTCTTTCAGAGATGGTTAGTCTTCTCAGACTGCCTTACTTTCATTAAATGGTTATAAAGCTGACCACTTTATCCTGCCAGTAGAGAGAAGAGAAAACCAATTGTTCAATGATAGTAGGACCAGCCCTATTGAGAAGTAAGATGGTACATATAACCTAAATTGAAATAAAATGCTTCTGCATTGGAATTCATTTCCATTACCACTTAAGCTGTTAAAACATTAGGTGAACTTGTTCTGTCACATGATTAATTGAATCCATTCTGTAAAGTTGGAAAGGATGTAGTTTTAGATAATATTGCCTTGTCTGTGTTCTACATGTAACAGCTGAACACTTTATCCATTAAAGGGAACATATTTTTCATCAGATTACTGTAACCATCAGTCTTCTGGAGGAGATGATTTTGGAAATTCTGCCTCTTGGGCAGAAAAAAATCCCAAATTTTTGTTCTGCCTGATAAATGAAGGCAGCCCTATGCTACACATAATTAAGTAAAGGGGATATACCTAGCCTAAAGGTGAAACATCCCTATTTAGTCGGGCCCACCTTGGAGTTCAACAAGTGTGTTTACAGGAGATGCAATAAATAGCGTGAGAGAACACATGGGGAAAATATTTTTATCTTTATAAGAATTCAAGTAGACTAGTTCAACCTGAAGTTTTAGATAAAATGATTCTTTGTCCAGTTCTTCAGCAACAATGCTAATGCTTTCTGTGGCTTATATTAATTAAAGAGAAGCAGGGAAGCCCAGCATGAATGGTAATGCAGGCTGAATGAGCCTTTTTTCCCCCAATCTTTTTTATTCCCCTTCTTTTCCTGGAGATACAACCTTGCCAAGTTGGAGTCACTGTCAGATGAATTGATATGGATGGTGAACCTGAAAAAACTGGTTAGATGTAGGTAAAGTTATAGGATTACTAAACAACAGGGAGTAAAATGTTGAATAGGAAAGTTATGGGAAAAAACATTCTTAGATATGTTCTGGTTAGCCTTAGGACCAAATCTTTGCACAGAGAGACATATTAATTTACTGACATTGTTGCTAAACCCTTATTACATCAGCTTCTGTTTGAATGACTCAGTATCTTCACATAATTCCATTCAAAATCAAAAAGAGTTACAGTTGGATGAACTTACTTCCAGTGGAAATGGGGAGTAGACTGTTTATCACCCTAATCAATCAGCTTTTTGCACTTCAAATCCTGATACAGCATAGAAACATAGAGGCATTCCCTTCAGCTCTTCAGTGAAGGAAAGGAGATGGAATAATAGAAATATTTCTCTAGGGAAAATTAGCTTACCTAATGCACATTTTATGGGGCCTGGACTCCCAACATATTCTGGTATTTCTGAGAATTCAGCTTACGTGTCACTGGAGTTAAGTTAATTTGTTAGTAAGTGGATAATTATTCTAGAGCCTTTGACCCATTTGAGTATTAATAACATGGAATCAAATCTTATTATTTTTTGACACCTATTGGTTGAAAGGCACTGAACTAAGTCCTATTCTAGTTTGAAGACAAATTCCAGAATCCTCAAAATATTTCCTTTTTATTCACACACAATTATCAGGCTGTGTATACAGGGCATATTCAAATAAGCACATTGCATCACATTTCTTTTGTGAAGGAAACATCCGAGGAAGCTCTCTGGGGACTCGAATTAGTTAGATGAGATTGAGCTGAATGACTATCTGAACTAATTCAGTTGGAACATTTACTCCATTTAACTTGGGAGTCCAATTCATCAGAGAAATGTTCACAGGTATTTTTGGCATAGCTTATTAGAAAGAAAATTTCAGCAAGAGGAAAAAGTTCAAATCCTCACTTTCTAGCTCTGTGATTTCGTGTTTTAACCGCCTTGAAATTAAATTTTCTTGCTTGTAAAATGAAGATGATACCATAATAATATCAATAATAGCTGACATGTGTATATATATACATATATAATGTATATATACATATATATAATATATATTCCTGAAGCTTGCACATTGTCTTATGTACATAATCTTACTTGATTTTTTACAAAAAGTCCATGAAGTATGTAATAACAAAACAATGAAAAAATAATAATACCAGCTAATATTTATATATCAGCTTAAGGTTGGCAAAATGTTTTACATATATTATTTAATTTGGCCTTCATAACAAGTATGCCCTTGAAAGCAGGGAGTGCTTGTTGTCTTTCTTTATATCTTCAGTGCTTGGTACGTTGCCTGGCACACAGTAGGCACTTAATCAATGTTTACAGACTGAATGAGGTAAACACTATTATTATCCCCATTTTATCTATTATGAAACTGAGGCAGAGAAGGCTAAGTGACTTGTCCAATGTTGCACAGCTAATAAGTATATGAGATTGGATTTGAATTTAGGTTTTCCTGACTCTAAGTCCAGGGCTCTAACCACTACACCAAGCTGCTTTTCATTATGGGCAGGTTTATATCCACATTTCAGGAAACTGAAGGTCAGAAAGATTAGGTCACAGAGTTAGTAAATATAAACATTGGAATTCTATCCTAGGTCTCATCTACAAGTTTTTGGAATTCTTTTGGCTTCATCATAAGGCATACTTTACCTGTCAGAAGGGAAGGAGATGGGCCAGATGATCTCTAGATCTCTAACTTTAAGATCTGATTCTTATGATATGGTCACAACTATACACAGATTTTACTATATAAACCTTAAATATAGAGCAGCATAATACTACATTACTCAGGATACAACTTCATATAATAGTTTTGTAACTCTTGCCAGTGAAATGTCTATGCATGGGTTTAAATAAGTATATCCCTATAGGTAAGAGAGGTTGGTACTTCTGTCTTTGAACCAGTCTTTACAAAGTGGTCCTCTTTCAGAATAATGAATCATTTCGTCTTTGAATCACCGAATCACAGATTTTGAACTAGAAGGGATCTTAGTGAGAAGGCCAGTTAGTCGAACTCCCTCATTTTACAGATGAGGTAACTGAGCCTCAGAGAGGTTAATTTACTTGTCCATGGTGAGACAGTGAGTAAACATGAGAGGCAACATTCAAATACACATCTTCTTAAATCTCATGCTTCAGCATGTGTATATCATATATTTCATCTAAAAAACCCCAAGCCATAGTTTCTAATGAGTCTTACCTTTTGTCATTGACTAGGTTTATAGAATTCTTTTCACAAAAGAAACATGACAGATGTAGATATGTGATAACTCAAACTAGCTAATTTACTTGTCTAGGATGATTCTTCTAATGTGTTCCCTTGAGGAAATTCTTCTTACTCATGGGTCCACAACTGTTTGGGTAAGATAGTGATTGTCTGAAAATCTGTTTTACACCAAAATATCACATTCTGTTTTCTAGATGACAAGGTAATCACAAGTGTTAAGAGGTATTCTTTCATTAGTTACTCATTAATGTTCACTTTCCTTCTGCAAGATCATGAAGGGACATTTCCTCCCTATTCAAGGAATCCTTTAATTTAGGAAATTAGTGCAGGCTACAAAACCATAATGGGGAAAATGCAAACATTTATTTTTATTTGCAAATGCTGTTTTCTGCCAGTAGTTGGTGCTCACAAAACCTCTTAAGTTACAATAACTTTCAGTAAACTCAATGAATACTTTAAAAAAATATCTAGTGATAAGAAAATTACAGAAAAAATTTTATTACACTGTTGAAAATGTTTTGAATCCAAAATTTACTATCTTATGCAAAGGTTATTAGCAGTTATTCTGGTTATTAAAAAGATTTTTAAACGTGTATATATTCCTGGTTTAAGACAGTTTTTGACTTGAAACTCCAGGCCTGTAGTTTTCTAGTGTTTATGCTTTGGATTTTAAAATCTCACACACTTATTACATAAATATGTGTATGTTTGCATAAACACATGGTTTTTGTTGCTTATTTTTATGAAATGAAATTTTTAATCCTATTTACCACAGAGAATCTCCTTCTGCTTGCAAAAATAAACAAAAAACAAACAAATAAAAATACCTCAGAGAAACCCAAAAAGCAGCAGGTAATCTTATACTTAATTCTTTGTTTTTTAAATATAACAAACAATTAGAAACCTATTAATTACAAAAACTCCTTAATGATACCTAGAGCAACCAGAGATAGTTTTTTTTTCAAATCAAAATTCGTATTTGTAACAGTACTTGAAATAATTAAGAAAACTTCTGGTTGTTCTATTTGGTAAGGAATGGCTTCTTTCTGATATACAATTAAGAGGAACTAATAAAGATGATGTAGCACTTCCAAAGTTTTAAGGGCATACCTATATAGGCCTACAGTTAACATGCAAGGTATCCAACAGGCAACACAAAATTTATTGTAGTAGTCATTCAATTATCAACATTCAAGGTCTAGACAGCAGCACAACTCTTCTATGTCAGAAACACATTATAACATGAAAACAGGAAAAGTCAGATTATAACTGGGAAAATACTCCCTGTGGTAAATTGACTGTTAGAGTCAATTTAGACTTCCATCATGTGAAGAATTAATTCAGACTTCCATCTACATAAACAATAGAGATTAATACTGTGGAACAAGGTCAACACAGACTGAACTGAGGGGTCTGCCTTATTGCTAGAAGACACTGACCAATACTTAGATCTCCCCTGTAACAAATCAAGTTTAGTAAAGGTTTTGACATAAGAGACAAAAATGAAATCATTGAGTTTCTAACTTAATTATTTCCCTTTTTCCTTTCTGAAATTGAAATAATCTCATTAACTTATTTGTAGTGCTCAATTTTTATAAATGAGCCTGATTTTCCCTAGTGCAGGAACCCCTCCTAAGTAGTTACTTGGTTACTTGGGAAATCCATACTCAGTTTTTTCAGAATATTAGGGGACCACTTAGTGAATTCTTGCTTCAGTGCTCTAAGGGGTTCACTCCTCATATCCTGAAAGAATGAACATGATGTACCCAAATGTAGGACTGGCTCCCAAGTAATAGCTTTTACTTAGGTAATAGGTGGCACTCTTTTTTTTTTTTCCAATGGGAAAACATAAAATGTGTGCTATTATCTCCACCCCCACCCACCTTTCTCTACCACATATAATACTTATTAAATTAAGAAGGATATTATACTAAAGATGAAGGTGATAGGTATTCTTCCCGGATTCTAAAGAACTCTCTGTTCTCTGACAGGGATAAAAAAAATGTAGGAAAGAATTTGTTCAAACTCCTGCTAAGTTACACATATTACTTCAACTAATACAATGCCTACTTGACATCAAAGTACTATAAATTATCAAAAGTATAATACAGAAAATTACAAATTCATTGCAAAATACATTACACTGCTACAATTCAGAAAAAAAGTGCTTTTTATCTTTTGCCAGAAAAGTATTGTTCCAAAATAGAAATGAAGGGTAGTTTTCCTCTTGGAGCAAACTCCTGTGGCTTATCCTACATGTGCTATGCATTATTACCTGCTCAAAAAAATGCCTATACAGAGTCTTTCAGGCTTGCTGGCTGCAGGGCTCAAAAAATAAATGATGGAAATGACAAATTGTTTATATTTCCCCGCGGTTTTCATGCTTCCTCTCAAATCACTTGTGAGAAATCCTCTTTAGGATCTCTAACCACAGGGTCCCACCATTTAGCGTTGCCTATATTGTCTCATAAGTGGTACAATGCAAGCGGGTGGACCTGCCAGTTTCAAGAAAGGATGTCCGATTAGTTCTTGTGCTGTTGCTCTCTGGGAGGGTTCTCTTACCAACATCAAGTCTAGAAACCCCCGAAGCACTGAGGAAACCTGTAATATTATACAGACATCATGAATAAGGTAATGTAAATCATTATCCCAATAACAACTGACTTTTACAAAGTCCTTTCTGGATAAAAACAAATAAATAACAACAACAAAAAACATTACCTACATTATCTAATGTGATTCAGACAACTACCTTGTAAGGTAGATAATCAAATTATTACTATCTCTGTTTTATAAATAAACTAAAACTGAGAGGTGATAAATTACCAGACCAAGACCACATCACTTGTAATTTCCAGAGTCAGGATTCTAATCTAGGACTTTCTTCTCTCTCTAAGATTAGTATTTCTTTCCCTTATACTATACTGGTTTTTCATAGATACTTATCAGAGGTTTGTAAATTCGTTTTTCAAGTATGTCATCAGAAAGCGAATTTAGTCTAAACACCGAGTTCTAAGAAATAACCTTAATGGGAACATGGAAACCAAAAGGACATTGCTTTCCATTACTAGAAATAATTTATCTTGGTACCATAAATTTAGGAAAAAAATAGGATATGTGATAATAGTAACACACACACACACAAAGGAATTTAAAGGAATATTAATAGTTTAGGTAGATGTTGAACTACAAAATCTCTAAGGCCCCTTCTAAGATTCTATGATTCTCTACTAATCTGTAGATCAATTACAAGTTGAAATAACTGCTTACATGAAGCCAGAATGCCAAGGTGGCATGTTAGTTACCAATTTTTTGATCTTTAATAAATCAGACAAATCCTCACCTTGTGTAGGTCTTTCACTCTTGGAGGTAAGTTATCACGGATCCTACGCATTGCCTGGAGTGGAGGTTCATTGAAGTAAGGAGGTTCTCCATCTATCATTTCTATGACCATAATTCCAAGTGACCAGATGTCCACCTGTTTTACAGAGTTCATAGATTAATATTGAGGAGGAAACAGTTGTTCTGAAGTACATATTTTTCTTAATGAAATCAAGTAATTCACAAATGATTCATAAATGAATTTACTTAATAATCTAAGAGGGAGATTTTTGGAAGCATATATCCCTAGACAGGTTTCATTTAAGATATCAGTTTACCAAGAAGAAAAAAAAAATTTCTCATAGAGGCTTCTGGTTGGCCTTGTAATGAAGTTAAGCTAATCAATGACATTCTACAAATGCAACTGTATATATTACTATTTCAAAGTTTGTTGCTTTCATTACAACCTTTTTACCACCTGCAACTGCCTGATAGGTCCAGACAGTAAGTCTTCAAAAAATAAAAAGAGGTTGTCAAAATAACAATATACTTAAAGCTCTCTGCTTAAGAAAAAACTTTACTTAAATATTTTATGTAAATATGAAACAATAGGATACTTAAATTTCCACTACTGTTAGTAGACTAAAAGCAAATTTAAAATAGTGTCACATCCTAGAAAATACATTTCTAACACTTAATCATTTGCTTTTAGAAATCAGGTTTAGCTGGATAATGGTCAAAGGATACGGAAAGATAATTTTTAAAGGGGGACATACAAGACTGTGAATTATTCCTTGGGAAATCTTAAGTCTTACTATTGAAGAGATCTACATTACAAACAACTTTGAGGAACCACTTCATAATCACCAACTTAGCAAAAATAATTAAGACCATCAAAACTCAATGCTGGCAGGGTTGTGGAGTATGTTGCAGAATCATTTTGGAGAACAATATGGCAGTACATATTAACCATTAAAAAAGTAATCATAGCCTTTGAACTCATAATTCCATTGTTAGGAATGGAACCTGAAAATACCATAAAAAATTAAAAAGCGCTATATGTTGGAGGATTTTCACATCAGCAGTATGTGTAATCACCAAGACTGAGAAAGAAACAACTTAAATGCTGAGCAACAGGGGAAATTGTAATCCATTAATTTAGTAGGAGAGGCAACATGGCATATTACAGTGGATAGAAAACTTCCTTTAGAGTAAGGAAGTCCTGGAGATCAAGTCCCATCTCTTACATATGCTAGCTTTGTGACTCTGGGTAATTCACTTAATGTCTTAATGCCTCAGGGAACTGTCCAAAAGAAAACAGCACTCACAGGTCTATATTAGAAAAGAGAATTTCTTCATTGGAAGTCCCTGCACCAATCAAACCAAAAGAATAGACCATTCTCCCACTACCTGCCGCCAACTTATAAAGAAAATTTACTTGGTTGTACCTTTAAAAATTAAGTTTTCAATGCAAATTGTTAATAATAAAAAAGGAAGTTAAAAAATCCCAGAAGTCCAGCTGCTTTGGCAAAACTTTCCCTTTTAGCAACCTTTTGATTCTATGTTGTCTTTTAAAACCAGAATGTACAGCAGTTGGCTTATAAATTGAGGTTCGGTGTACAGGGAGAAGAATAGGCAGATGACAGATAAAGATTTCTGGTTAAAGAACAGGAAGTCTGAACAATAGGAATGAAATAACCATACTATCAATTTCCAGTTACTGCCACATCTTATCTGCTGGATACGTTCCTATCATAACCTATACAATGGCCTTTATTTACAGTTTTTATGTCAGGGCCAAGATGAAAATACTAAATTGAAATAAACCATACAAGGTTACACAAGCTGCAATATACACACACATCCTCAGGTTTCATTCAGTCCATTTGCTCAGTTCAGTGACTCTTGCCACATCTTTACAATTAGTCTGCAGCTATACAATGAGGATGATTCCCCCCCCCAACACACAAATTTATTGGATCTTATGGATTACAATAGTTGACAACTCATTCAGAGTAGATCCCTTGGGAAACTGGAAAACCCTTTCAAATGAAACTTAATAACTGTGATAGAAAATTTTTATCCTTTGAGAGTAGATTTGAGTTTTAGAAGAGAGGTAAACACAATTCAGATTCAATTATGACTCTAGGATCGTAGATTTAAACATGTTTGGGATTTTAGAGGCTGATGCTCTGTCTCTCCTAATACCTCCTCCCCCTCCATTTTGAAGATGAGGAAACTGAAGTACAGAGAGGTTAAGGGTTAAGTGAATAACCCAGGGTCACAACTAGTGAATCGTTGAGGAAGTGTGAACCAAGTTCCCCATGACTACAATTCTAGTGTTCTGCCAATTATGCTATGTTGCCTTTCTAAATAAAGTAAATGATATAACTGGGTAGTAATGCCATTTTTTTTAATTTGGAAGGGAAAAAAATAAAAGATGATTGTAGAGTAATGAAACCAGTGAGAATAAGTTCCCTTCTGTGGCTCTGAAGACATCATCATATATGTGTGTGCATATACACGTGTAGATAGATATAGAGAGATATAGGTATAGGTATATTAATATACATATATTTACATATATAATATACATAAACATATACATGTAAATGTACATGTAATATACATATATTTATATATTCATTGTGCACATGCCTGTGTGTGCATATATATGTGTGTGTGTGTGTGTGTGTGTGTGTGTGTGTGTGTATGTGTGTGTACGTGTATAAATTTATTGAGTTATCACAATCTTCCTGGCCTGGTGACATGCAGAAATGCTTTCATGTATTTCACGATTGCAGAAAGGATGGATTTTTTTCCTTACCTCTGTTCCATAAGGTAGTCTAGATATGACCTCTGGTGCCATCCAGTAAGGAGTGCCAACCAATGATTTCCTCTTTGGGACTTCTTTAGAAACTTGGGCACAGAAACCAAAATCAGATAACTTTATCTGGAAAAAGAATAGATGCAAGAGCATGAGCCTATTGGCCATATTTTCTGTCATTCCCTATAGACATCAATGGAATAAGACACAAAATTAAAAATTAAATGAGTTGTCATTTTCCGTACTTTAGCAAATAATATAGTTATTACTTTATCAGATATTTTCATCAGCCCTGTTATGCTTAGCACAGTCCTAAGTGTTCAATGTATATCTGATTTTCTTTTAAAATGATGTCTTCAAGGCATTATATATATATTATGTACATACATGTCCATCCATATATATATGCTGATTTTCTTTTAAAATGATGTTCTCAACTATACAATTATGTATATGATGGGAAAATAAAAACAAGATTATTGGGTGCTCTAAAGATCATCAGGTACTCATCATCTAATAGTGTCTTCACATATCAATCAGCTAATAGGTATTATTTATTAAGCTCCTACTATGTGCCAGGCACTGTGCTAAGGGCTGGGGATACAAAGAAAGGCAAAAGATAGTCCTTGCTCTCAAAGGAGCTCATGGTCTAATGGTGAAATGAGTGGAATATCCTCCCTATTAATATTCATTCTTTAAAGCTTTACCAATATACCAGTTCTTCCACGGAGTCTTCCTTCCTTACAAGATTATAATCTCCTTAAAGGCAGAGACAGTTTCATTTTTGGTTTTTTACTCCTAGAGTGTTGCACAGTACCTGACACATAGTAGGTACTTATTTAAGTGTTTTCAGATTAACTGATTCTTTGACCTCCTGTTGGCTAAATACCTTCTTCCTTCTCTGACCTTGCATAGCATTTTGTTTTACACATTTCTTTGCACTTCTATTAAGTTTTGTAGTACTGTTATCTGCGTAAGTGGGGATTTTTTTTCACTTTATAGACTATAAGATATAAGAGGACAAAAGCTGTGTTTTAGCTCAATATTTTAATCTCTACCAGTGCTTATCGTGGTGATCAGCAAGCACACTGTAATACCTAAGAAGTGTTGGTTGGTTAAAACTTAATTCTAAGAAATATGTCTATAGAATGGAAAGAAGGGAAATAGATCCTTAAGGGAAAAGTTAATTCCTATCATTTCTCTTTCCTGATCATAAACTTCAGGACTGATAAAATATCTGAACAAAGGGGATGCCAACAATTCACTATCAGGAGTGGCTGATTTATCATCTCTTCAATGTAGATTTCTCTTTCTAGGCTTCAAGATGACTGGAAGCCTAATAATGTTTCTCCATGACAAACAGAAAGGAGATCACTACGAATTTCTACAAATCAGAATGACTACAAATTTTGAAAGCTAACACCATTTTTCTATCATAGGAGTGTAAGAGTTTTTAAATATCTATTGCTCATGCGAGTACATAAGAGACAATTTTCTAAAAAAGAGATAATTGTATACAACATATGCCTAAATAAATCTGCAATGCAAATAATGAGTACCCAAGTAATGAGTATAAAGAAGCATTGTGTGTAGGTGCTAAAAGCAAGTAGTATTGCCTCTGAGATGTTTTTTTTTCCTAGTTTTGATAGAGCCGTACAACTTTTCCACTCAGTAAAGCACCTTTACTCGTGAATCCCATGTAGCTGAAGAAAAGTTGGGTTAAAGGGAAGGTCTGCTAAAATGAAAAGGGGCAGCTTGTTAGGCAAAGACCATCTTGGGAACCAGCCTATCAGGAATTGCCTTTACTTGTGTTTATAGATTTAATCAGTGCAGTGGAAAGAGCAGTGGGCTTGGAATCAGGAAGACTTTATTTTCCTGAGTGCAAATCCAAATTCAGACACTTACTAGCTGTATGTCCCTGGGAAAGTCAACTAACCCCGTTTGCCTCAGTTCCTCATCTGTAAAATGAGCCGAAGAAGGAAATGGCAAACCATTCCAGTTTCTTTGCCAAGAGAAGCCCAAAAGGGGTCACAAAGAATCAGACAGGACTGAAACTATTGAACAAAAACAATCACAAACTAACTAGATTAAATTTTTACTTGAACCTTAGCTCAACAATGAGAGTATGCTGTGTTAAAGTAGGAATTAAAAGCCATAGAAACAAGTTTTGGGGAATAGAAAGGTTGGGGGTTAGGGTGAAGGCAGAGGGAAGAAGCTACAATCACATGAAAAAATAAAAAACATGTCATTAAAGAGAATTTTAAAAATCAGCACTAAATATCTTGTTTAGGAAATTCTTACACAGGATCATGAATGCAGAGGAGGAAGGGACCTTGGAGGTCGGTTAATCCAAACCCCTCACTTTATAGATGAGGAAACTGAGGGCTAAAGAGGTTTCTACTTGATCATGAGGCAGCTAGGTGCCCCAATGCATAGAGTGCTAAACTTGTCTGCCTCATATACTCTCTAACTGTGTCACTATGGTCAAGTCATTTAATAAATACCTTTCATCTTCAGTTTCCTCACCAGTCAAGTCAACAATCATTGATTAAGCATGTGTCAGGCACTAGGATAAGCTCTGGAGATACAAAGAAAGGCAAAAAATAGTTCCTGTTCTCAAGAAGCTTATAGTCTAATTGGGGAGAGGTCATGAAACAATTATGTACAAACAAGATCTATAAAGGATTCACTTGGGGAAGTCTCAGAAGAATGGCACTTGAAAAGAGTAAGGAGAATTAGCAAAGGCTTCTTGTAGAAAGTAGGCCTTGAGTTGAAACTTGAAGGAGGTCAGGGAAGCTAGGAGGTGAAGATAAGGAATGGGAGCATGCCAGGCTTAGAGGACAGCCAGTGAAAATGACCAGAGTCAGGAGGAAATGGAACATTTTATGTAAGGAACAGAAAAGAGGCCATAGTATATAGAGGAGATTGCAGAGTATGTAGTGGGGAGTAAGGTGCAAGAACCGAAAAACGTGGAACAGAATGGCATCTACCTCACAAGGTTGTTGGAGGGCATCATATGAGTTAACATGAAAAATGCTTTGCAAACCAAGTGCTATATAAACTGCTAGTATGGTTGGTGTTTTTGTCCTTAATGTCACCTAGATAGTGGATGGCTAAAGAACTCATTGAACTGAGTTCTTCAGATTCTATAGCTAGCATTCTGATGAACACTGATAAAATGTGAGCTTCTAGAGAACAGTGACTATTAAATTTTTATCTCACAGCACTGTGCTTGACACGTAGTAGATGCTCAATAGCTACTTGTTCATTAATTGTATTGTGGCATCTTCCCCATTAAGTGACTGTTGTGTTTGTTATGGATTTCTCAGAGCAGAAGTAAGTAAGGTATTAGAGAAGAGGGAAAGAAGTTGCAATGCAGTGGTATAATAAGATTTAGAGCTAGAAATCATCTAGGACAAGCCTATTATTTTGTCAATGAGGAAACTGAGGTACAGATGATATGAAATAGGTTATCTAAGGTTGCAAAGTGACTAAGCTACAGCTAGGATTGGAACTTAGGCCACGTGACTACAAATGCAATGATTTCTCCTACACCAGGATGGATAAAAAGAGAGCTCAGAAATAACTAGCTGGGCATGAAACCAGCTTTTTTGGGCTACCAAATCTAGAAGCCAAAGAAGTAGGAACAGTGAGGAATCATCCAGGTATGAGAATGCCCAAGACTTTTCAGAAGTGTATGACTTTTGGCAAGTTATTTAACTCTAGGAATTGGCTTTCTAATGTGTAAAATGGAGAGGGAAGAAAGACTGGCCTGGGCCAGAGTATCTTTTGAGTTTCTCCTAACTCTTCGATGATTCTATGAAATTTACTCTGTGTCCTCCTCTCATTCCAGCTCTTCATTAAAAAATGGGGATATTCATTTGTTATATGGCCTTTTATTCATGTATAAGTTAGACTACATGGTATGTGAAATGTTTTCTGACTTTGAGATTCTCTGATTCTAGAACTCTTCCTGATATGGTCCTTAAAGATAGTTGTCCTGGGCTTCAGACTTCCTTACAGTAACCTAAATATTGAAAATAGATATGTAGAAAAGAAAGCAATGATCTCACAGGGTCAACATGGCTTCATATTGATCAGCTTATGCTCACAGTCATGATAGATTAGCATCATTTTTAATCCTGATATGCTTGTTACTAATTAGTATACTGTAGATCAGAGGAATCCTGTTGGCCTCCATTTTAGCAAAACTTTTGACAAAGTCTCTTGATATTTTCATGGACAAGATGGACTGATATGGGCTAGATGAAAGTACGTTTAGTTGGATTTACAATTTCTTGAATGATTAATTTTGAATTTGGTTCTTTTGAAGGGATAAAAAAAGAAACAGAAAAAAGATGAAAAGATATTCAGTCCCCAGGTACCTCAGAAATCTAATGAACTGGAAAGTCTTTGGCAAAACTGGGACAGTGGTAACTATTATATGAACATCTTAAATAAAACCATACTAGTCCCTATCATCCTATTTTATTTCTTTACTTTCATACCTTTCTTTAGAACTATAGTCTATCATCTTATTATATGGACAAGAAGCAAGACAGTCTGTAAGCATTGATAAAGCACCTATTATGGGCCAGGGACTATGCTTAGAGCTAGGGATACAAAGAAAGACAAAAGACAGTCTAATCTCTCAAATAGCTCACAGTCTAATGGGGAGATAGCTATGCACAAACAAGGCAAACAAACAAACAAACAAATAAATACATGTTACATATGTACACACACATACGTGTGCGTGTGTGTATATATACATGATAATACATATTTTTCAAACATATAATATATTGGAAAAAAATAACAGGTGGAAGGCAGTAGCATTAAGAAGGTTTGGGAAAGACTTCTGAAGAAAGGTAGAGTTTTAGCTTGCAGTTGAAGGAAGCCAAGGAAGCCAGGAGGTAAATATGAGGAGGGGAAGAATTCCAGCCAGTAAAAATACCCAGAGTCCCAAGATGGAGTATCTTGTGGCAGGAATAGCAAGGAGGCCAGTGTTACTGGATGGCAGAGAATACAGTTAGGTAAGTAAGATGTAAAAAGACTGGAGTGGGCCAACTCAGTTTCCTTATATATAAACTGAGGATAATAAAAGTAGGGCCTGCTCCATCTATTTCACAGGGCTTTGAAAAGTATAAAGCATGGCATTAAAAAAATGTTAAGAACTCTTAAAAAATTTTTTTTTTAGTAAATTTATACACACAGCTGGGAGCTATGAGAAAAGTTAAAAAATTGGTGGAAAAATGCTAAAAAAAATTAGTGCAGATAAATCTTTGTGTTTTTTTGTTTGTTTGTTTTTGTTTTTTTTTTTTCTTTCTGACTGAGCAAGACCTGTCTGGAAGGGGATCTGAAGGCCACTCAGTGAACACAGTGTTCCTAGCTCTCTAAATTCCCCTTGACTCTCAGAATCATTTCTGAAAGAAGTCAGATCCAGTGCCAAGATGGGCAGACAATTATGACTATGCTACCTTTGGGAAAAAAGAAGTAACATCTAAGAGAGATTTTTTTCTATTTATCATTGGTGTCATGGCCCTCAATGGCAGGGAGATGAGTCAAGTAGGCCATCTTGGTTAAATTTCATTTTACATCCATTCTGCTAATCAAATTTCGTTTGAGGATTGAGTTTTTCTTTTCTTTTTCTTTTTTTGTCTTGTTTTGTTTTGTTTTTGTTTTAGGCAACTGGGGCTAAGTGACTTGCCCAGGGTCACACAGCTAGTAAGTGTCAAGTGTTTGCTCTGAGGCTGGATTTGAACTTAGGTCCTCCTGACTTCAGGGCCGGTGCTCTATCCACTGTGCCACCTACCTGCCCCTGGGCTCTTCTTTTCTTCCTTCACTTCTCTGTAGTTATTTTCTAAGCTGTAAAGCAGCTGATACATTGAAGGAATATATGAAATGGCTGCTGGGACTACCTGTCCAAGCAGGTAGCATCTATGGAAACATCAACCATACCTGGGTTTCGATCCCTTGGAGAGCTCAGACAGATAGGTTATGCCTACACTTAAATTTGGAATAGAATCACAAGAGATATTTTAATTCATAAGAGTAGAGGATAGCTAATTTTTGTTAGGATTGAAGCAGTAAGGGGAAAATTAAATTTCTGTACTCCCTGAGTTTCTGTACTCACTGCTGCAGCAACAAAATGCACCTTAAATTTGGGCTATAGATTAAGGTGATGGATGGAATGACATTTTCAGATATTATGATCACAACACATGATGTCCCTCTTCACAAAGCATGCGCAGATGGGAGGTAGAGATACCAAACTGGGAAATTCAGATTCTAAAGGAACAAATATCTCTGGGAAAGCTGTCCTCTGAGGCTGATGTCCACAGCTGATGATCAGATTTAATTGTGTATTTTTACCAATGGCAAGGAAAATCTTAATATCTTACCCTGCCATCACTTGTCAGAAGGATGGAGTCACTCTTGATGTCTCTATGAATAACTCCTTGATTGTGAAGGTAAGAAAGGGCCCTCAGGACTGATAAACAAACTGTAGCTATCTGTTCTTCATTCATTCTAAAAAAAAAAAAGAAATTATGTTATAAAACAACTTTAAAGGATTAAGGATATCTTTTAAACAACATCAAATGGACAGGTTTAGAGTGTTTTCAAGTTAATTAGTTCTGGCTAATGCCGATGTAAGCAATGTGGCTTCATCTGGCAGTTAGCAAATGCTTAATAAATACTTGTTAACTGACATTTGATTTGACTCACACAACAGTCTTTAAGTCAGCACAAAGTTGATGGCAATGGGACCCAAAGGCTTACCTATTAAGTCCCATTCTAAGTAAAAGTTATTCCTCCTTCTTGACTATTTGGCAATTGGAGCAGTTGGTGGTGCAGGCCTAGAATCAGGAGGACCTGAGTTCAAAGGTGGTCTCAGATCCTTACTAGTTGTGAGACCCTGGGCAAGTCACTTAACCCTGTTTGCCTCAGTTCCTAATCTGTCAAATGAGCTGTAGAAGGAAATGGTAAACCCCTCTAATATCTGCTAAGGAAACCCCAAATAGGATCATGGAAAAGCAGACACAACTGAAATGACTCAACAACAAAAATCACATATTAACTATAAATCACACTAATACTGTAGTAATTCTAAATGGTTTCTGAATATATTTTAACTAGGTTAATGCCCTCATACACTGAAGCTATATGAGTAACAGGTAGAGAAAAAACCAATTCTCTCTATTCATGGGAACATAAGCCCCATTCACATAAGATTATGTAGGCACTTAATTAGACTCATTCAAAAGATAATAGTGATATTTTGGCTAAAGCAAATTAAGTAAACAAGGGGAAGTGGGGTGCTAAGCATGGGAGTGCAGGGCCGGGCCGGGCAGGGCAGGGTAGGGAAGGAAAGGGAAGCAAAGAGAAGCGAAGGAAACATGTAGGAAATTTTGTCTAACCTAACAATGTCAAAGTGCCAGTGTTGACAAAGGCACACAAGCTGTAATTTCTTTCCATAGTTATGGCAATCACCCGGAAGGGAAAGTCACTACTTACTTTGGAATTCTTTTATGCTGACATCAGCCAAATATGTCTTAAATTATTATCACAAAAAGTGTACTAATATTCCTTCTGATGCATTTTTCTCCAACATTTGAGATTTTAATTTGTTCCAAGCAGACAATCAAAGTCTGCAGGTGGTGTATAACAACTGACCGCATTACACTGTTAATCACCATTTGAAAAGTCATCTCTCAGAAGTTCAGACTACATCTGCTAAGACTTTCTAAGACTGATCTCTAACTCAATGAATTTGAACTATTCAGGGCTAGCTGAAGTCCACAGTATTATCATTACTTTTTTTTTTATTTGTAGAAACCTCTCCATGCTAAGCAGTATTTAATTCAGAGGAATGAGAATGAAATTTATTTCATCTGATCACTCAATTTATTGACATTTATCTTAAAGTAGAAACTTCCCAAATGAGAAGACAAAAAGATAGGTCCACTCTGTTCTATCAGGAGGAGGAACCTTTTCCTGATTTCATCCTCAAAATTGAATTTTTTTTTTTTAAGGGCAGAAAAGATTTCTTTTGGAAAGAAATTGGGAGAGCTTTTCCTCACATGTTGCCACATGAACAAATTCCCCTTTGGACTATCATCTTTAGAATCTGGAAAAGTCTAGGACTTACAGGTTTCTCTGTTCTCAGGAACCTGCAGAGTACATTGCCTCAGGAAGGAGGAAACTTGCCTGTATGTACCTAGTCCTGTGCTAGGGCTCCCATGGAGATAATATCCTACCAGCTGAAACTGCAGAGTAAATTGGTGGAGATCCTTATTGCCCCCCATCACCCTTCAGTGGCCTCCCTTTTGTGGCTGGAAGCTACCAATTGGAAAAACTTCAGGGGAACAACATGGGGCCAGTCCATCCTTTTGTGCTTCATCAGTCATCTACTAACATAATTGTCCTTTCACAAAGCTTCCCTACCTTCTCCTCACTGAGGCTTACTCTCCTGCCTCCACCTTCATTTATGGAACTTGTAGGGAGGCAAGAGGCAGAAGCAACTGGATGGAAGGTACTGCTTTCTCTTTCAAGAGTGTTTTCAAACAAAGCAGATGTATATTTCTGTCTTCTTATATGTAACAAAATGATATTCTATGGTTGGTCTTATAATTGCTCTTTCATTTGAAATAAATTTGAAAATATCTCTTGTCTTGCCCCTCTCTTCAATTTCCTGTAGCATACAGTATTAATACACTTTCTCCATGCTTGGAGTACTTCTCCTTCTGACTTCTGCCTCCTAGTTCTGCTGGCTTCTTGAAAGAAGGTGGCCCAAATACTACTTTAGAGAAGAAGCCACTCTTGGTCACCAAGCTTCTAGAGCCTTCCCCTCCAAGTATCTACCAGCTACTCTGTATGTATCTTTCATGGAGCTATTTATTTCTATGTTGTTTCCCTGATTGAAGTGATATCTCCTTGAGGGCAGGGACTGTTTTTGTCTCCCTTGATATCCCAGCCACTTTAATGAAGTTCATAGCACAGAGAAAGCATGTAATAAATGACTTTATGTTGACTGATTGAATAAAAAATTAAGAGTATAATTCAGTTTTATACTATTTATCACGGAACATTTCTCATGTGGAAGGGCATGTGAACTTCAATTCAATAGATATTTAAATGGGGGCTTATTCCCTGTATATTCTAGATTTTAACAAGGTTGATCTAATGATCACATGGGTCACTGGGTCATCACCTGTGCGGGAAAGATAAGTCTATTAAAAAAAAGAGTCTCCCAGGGATCTCTAGTTACTAAATAAACTTACCTCATGTGAGTTACAATTTCTGTCAAAGCTCCACCTTCTAGGAATTCCATGACAACCCACAGCTCATCACCAACAAGATAACTGTTGTACATGTCAACCACATTGTCATGATGGTAATCCCTCATTATCACAACCTGTACAAAAGAAAAGGAATTGACCAGACTGTTAGTTGGTAAAGAGGTAAAGGTCTGTAACAGTAATGTGGTATAGTAAACATGATTTTGGATCCAGGGCCAGGAAGACCTGGGTACAAATCCTGCCTCTCACATTTACTAGCTGTGTTCCCTTGGGCAAGTTACAAAACCTCTTTGTGTAGGATTCCATAGGACTTACCCACTAAGTCATAAATGGCAGCCCCTGGAGTAACATACCGACCAAATCAAAAATCCTTCACATATTTGTTTTCACGAGAAGTTGAAATCCTGTTTTTTCCTCTCAAGACAGTTCTTCTCAGTATTAGACTCACTATTAGACTTTTAAAACTCATAAATGTGTAAGGGTGGGATTCTATTCTCCTCACCCTAATCAATCAATCAACACGGTAAAATGCGTATTAAGGAATTTCCTTTTTTAAAAAAGTCCTTATAATAAATGAATAAGTCTTTAATCAATTTGAAAGGACCATGGGATTTGGGGCCATTGGATGAAAGGTGGAAGATGTCATACAGGAAATACATTGTGATTGGCTCATAAGATAAAGTCATACCATCATACTTCTTGGACTATTTATAAAAAATATATTTGGACTATTTATAAAAATAGCAATGAAGTTGAACAGTAAACCAGGCAAGTGGTGAACCTGATTCTTCCCCAGAGAAATTGGAGGTGGTAATGAGCACATCAAGGCTACACAGACAAGATTCTTAGAGAATCAAATCAATTGGCATAGATTTTTAAAGATAAGACTTATGCATTTATCTTTATGTCTGTATATAATGCTATAGCTTCTGATTCTTGATCAGTTAATCTCCAAGGATATTTTGAGAAAGTGTTTAAAAAGAGAGGGGTAATGAGGTCAATAGATTCTAGGAGTTGGGTGATACAGGTTTTAGAATTATAATCATTGTTATTAATACTTCATCTAATATTTTCAATGACAATAACATGGCTCTAGAAGGGTCACTGACAAGCATTACCTAATGGTAACACTGACTGTCAAGATACTATATCTGATGGGAAAAAAATAATTTAATTAACCAGAGTGTTTGAGTGGCCTCTAAACACTAAATATGTTTACTTAGAAGGAGTTTATCTGTCAAAGAATTACCTTCTAGGAATTCCATGAAAACTAGAGCTCATCATGAACAATTCCCTATTAGAATGAACAAGTGACTTGACTGCTAAGGAATCTCAGTTTTCTCAGTGATAAAGAAGAATATTCTTTCATAGAATTATAAGATTTAGAGTTGCAAGACACCTTAGAGCATAACTAGTCTGGCCCCTTGATTTTGTTGATAAGAAAATGAAGTCCAGGAAAGGAAAAAGTAAATGACTCACAGTCACTCAGGTATTAAAAGCAAATCTGGGATTTGGTGTAGTGGATATATAGCTGTATTTGGAATCAGACAATCTTAGTTTGAATTCTAACCCTGCTACTTTACTACCTGTGTGACCTGGGACAAAGCCCTAAACCTTTCTGGGCTTCAGTTTCTTCCTCTGTAAAACAAAGGGGCTTGATTAGATAGTCTGAGGCTTCTTCTAGCTCAAATATTCTGAGCCCCAATCCAGTGTTCCCAGTGTTAAAATATTTGCAGGGTCTCTCATCTCCTTCCCTGAGACTTCACCATTAGATATTACGAGGTTTAATTAAAGAACAGTCCCTACATTCTATGTGTTCCACAGACATTGGTACCTAAAGAAGATTAAGACTATTGATTCCCCTTTGCCCTTTTCTAGCTACATTTAACACAGCTTCAAAAATTGATCAAACAGACCAGAACATCTGAATGATCACAGGGCTCTTAGCAGTTGACCATTCTCTTGAAATACATATCCCAGGGCCAATCACCCTTTCATCAAATAAAAAAAGAAGTGCTTGGGACACATGATTTACCTCATTAAAAAGCAGCTCACGCCGCTGTTGTTTCCTCAGGTCCATTTTCTTTACTGCGACTTGTTTTCCTGTGGGTTTCTCAGTGGCAAGATAAACTATTCCAGTTGACCCTTCTCCTATTTTAATAAAATTATCCAGGTATTCTCGAGGGTCACCAGGGCTAACCACAAGCTGTAGAGCAGCCCTGAATTGTTCGTGTGACACCCTAGAGGGCTGCTGGTCTGAGGATGAACCCCAACTAGGTGGGGGATAAGCACTTGAAGAGATGCTTGGGGAACTTGGATAGGAAGCTGTGGAGATGTACTGAGAGCTGGTCTGGAGACCAGGCTGATGGTAGTGAGCAGCCTTGTGATACCCAGAAGGATACTGGTAGCCTATTGAGGAATAGTTAACTTTGTTCTGACTTTGAGGTAGTTTGATGGGGCCCCGAGGGTAAGTGTCAGATCCCAGACAGAGTTGGGCTAACAGCCATCTGTACTCGATCATAATCCACCTGGTGAAGGAAATAACAATAGTCATCATTGGTAGTCTTCATATCAGTGCCAGCTAGTCTGTTTATAACAGTGGTTGAATAATGAAAGTGTGCAGAACATCATTATACTGGGCCTAAACTGGGCAAAAAATAAAGTAAGGGAAGTCTGTCTTGGGTATCCCCAAGTCTGGAATTTTAGTCCCCTTACCACTTATACACTTACCCAGCACCTTTAAGTTGTTTTCCTTCCTCCTACCAAAATCCAGTCTCAGCATTAGTTATTTATATCTTATTCTTATACCTTATTATTAGTCATTTGTATCTGGGTATAATTTTCGCTAAATATGTTCCCTCTCCTTTGATGGTGATATCTTAGGTCTTCTCTCTTTGAAATAAAAGGCTTTGTACTGCTAGAGCAATTGAAAGCATCGGGGGGGGGGCAGGTGAGAGAGTACTACAGAGAAGATGGTCCTTCTCAGTGCCCTAGAAATCATACTATATAAGTAGCTATCTACACTGTTTTCCCACAAGGTTGGCTGTGGAGTTGCTGACTTCTGCTGCCTGACTTCTTTCAGAGATGCTCTTTGGGTGGGCTATACTCAGATAGACCTAGAGACTTCAGGCTACCCCCTGGCTGTTGAGAACCCCGTACTTTTCTATTGTGTTTAACCTGTCCAGCCTGAAGAAGGCCCTATGCTTCAAATCTCTGTCTCCTCTATTCCCCATCAAAATGTAACTGTCTTGTTCTTATTTCATCTGTACTTTACTATGTGATTACTAGAAAATTCTAAAAACTCATAAAAGTTTAAGTGACTAATAATTACAAAATTTTTTTTATCCTAAAATATCTTTATAATTAGATTGTGGACATACCGTACCTTACCCATAAAAGGGAATTTATAATGGCTGCATTCAAGGGAAGTTTTGTTCAAGATTCCTCCAGTCACAATTCAATTCCATTAAAATGAAACAAAACATTTACTTTCTATTTACTATGCATAAGGCAAGAAATAATGTTGCATAGCATATATCAAACTGGCTTCTCTGTCAGAATGACCTGGATCCAATTTCTGTCTCGACACCTATTGGCTTTGTGACCCTGGTGAAGTGATTCAATGTCTCACTGATCTAAGCGACATTATAAGATTTTTCTTAACTTTTGTGTGTCATGGATATCTTTGGTACTCTGGTGAAGCCTATGGACCCCTCCTCAGAATGATTTTAAATGGAAACACAAAATACATAGGATTACAAAGGAAGGCAATTTATCGGGAAAATTACAAAAAACTCCAACATGTTTATAGATTGTAGGTCATTTCTGTCCTAAGACTGTAAATTACACAGAAATCAGAGATCTGTATTGGTAGAGTTTCCTCATTAGAAGTTCCTTCTTTTGGTGAATGCCCATACCACACACATATGATCTTGTCAGAGAATTAAAAATTTCTGCTTTGTCTCTCTTCTGTTATCATCTAAGCGGTGGTCTTATTCCCTTTTCTCCATTCTCCCTCCAAATGTCAGTGGCATAGTACATAAAGGATTAGATCACTAGTCTGAAAGTCTTGAGTTCAAATCTTATATCAGATATCTTCTAGCTATGTAACCCTGGCTCTCTGTTTGCCTCAACTCCCTCATCTGTAAAATAGGCTAATAATAGCACATACCTTCTAGGATTGCTGTAAGGATCAAATGAGATAATATCTATATAAAGTGCTTTGCAAACTTGAAAGCACTCCACATATGTTCATCATGATAAAAATAAGCAACACTCTTACTTCCATCCCCTATGCATGTCTTTTGAAAAACTAAGTTGGTTAGAGTTCCTGTAAATCTCATTTTTCTCTGTAGAAAGCTCTTTATTTTTTGTCTTCTCATCAGAATTTTTTCTGAGTACACACACACACACACACACACACAGGTGTTAGGGATACAAATACCAAATAAAACATGCCCTAACCTCAAGGATGTCACATTCTTCTTTTTATGTTGTATAAGAAACATTATATAACTATGTACTTTATTTTGCACGAATTGGGTGTGATATGCACATAGTAGATACTTAACAAATGCTACTGTTATTTTTAATGCTAAATTGGTCATTGAGATTTAATGCTAAATAATTAAAGCCACCAAGTCCTGATTGGATTATCCTCTACAAGGTTCCTATTGTGATGCCTCCTAATGGAAGAAAGGTCACGCTGGATTCTTGAATGCTATGTTGGCATATTTCAACCTCCAGCAGGACCCACAAACGTACGGGACAGCTTTGAGGGCAGACCTGGCAAGAGAATGTGTCCACAGCTTGACTATGTAAGTACACAGGGATTTATCACTAGAAGGTCGCCCAGTAGGTGATGAATTCTTTGACCATGGCAAACCATAAAAGATAAAAATTATTTCAATAAATGCCCTTAGTCCTGTGCGGCCCTCTTCTACTTCTATTTTTGTGGTGATAGTGGTGGAAAATATCAGAAGATACTAAGGACCTCAGAGTTTGGAATATCTAAACCAGTCATTTAACTGCTGGTGCTTGAAATGTGAGCTATATGTTTAATGACCTGGAGGAGATAAACTACTGCTGGAATGGAGCTAATACTCTAGAGAATAGCTATGGTATAAAAAGAATGGCAAGATACTCAGAAGTTCACAGGAAATAATTCAAGCCAAGAGCCACTAATAAAGTTCGTGGTTTCAGATGTGTAGATACAAATGAACAAGATATGGGTAACAATCAAGATGAACTAGAGAGTGTAATACAAAAAAGCAAATTTGACCTCAGGGGAATGATTGAGACTGAAATCTGGTCTTCCAAAAATCTAAGTCACACTGGATTTCCCCAGCTTTCCTTTCCCCTATCATACATTCTAAGATGAAATAGTTACTTCTTCATAAGGTCCTCATCACATGATTCCCCCAATCAATTCTTTCTCATTGGTGCAAATCATATATAGAATAACAACCATAAAGCTTCCTCTTGTCTTTTTTAGCATGAATGTATCATTAAAGTAATGAAGAAATTATTAATTGTTTTGCTTTGGGGAGAGAGAGAGAGAGAGAGCGAGCTTCAGCATGTGTTTGTATGACTGAAGCTCAAGACCCAAGAGAAGAATGTAGCTTTTTTAAGGGTATATCTTATTTCAAAGAAACATAATAATTAAAGAGGGAGGGAGGGAACAAATGCCACTGTATATTAAGAAGACATATCAGTGTCAGGGTAAATGACACTGTAAATGAAGTGAGAACCATGAGAAGCATGGTGGAAAGCATTTGGGGAAGTTTACTGGAGTGAGAAGCAGATGCGATATTGTCATTGGAATACTTTACAAACCACTTAGACAGAAAGAAGATGTAGATGAGTAGTCTGGAAAATAGACCTGAAATGGGGCAGCTAGGCAGCACAGTAGATAGAGCACCAGCCCTGGAGTCAGGAGGACCTGAGTTCAAATCTAGCCTCAGACACATAACATTTACTAGCTGTGTTACTTTGAGCAAGTCACTTAACCCCAAATGCCTCACTTCCCCCTTCCCCCCAAAAAATAGACCTGATGCCAATGCATGATAAACTGCAGTCTTGATGGTGAGCTTCATTCATACAAACACATGCTGAAGCTCTCTCTCTCTCTCCCCAAAGCAAAACAATTAATAATTTCTTCATTATTTTAATGATACATTCATACTAAAAAAGACAAAAGGAAGCTTTATGGTTGCTATTCTATATGTGATTTGAACCAATAAGGAAGAATTGGTTGGTGGAATTATGTGATGAGTTCCTTATGAAGAAGCAACTACTTCATCTTAGAATGTATGATAAGGGAAAGGAAAGCTGGGGAAATCCAGTGTGACTTAGATTTTTGGAAGACCAGATTCCAGAGCACTCAGAGAAAGACAGGTGGGATCTCCTAGACCAAATTTCTATAGAAGTCAGACCAGGAGACATGGGAAACTCATAAGAATGAATTTTAGTAAACAAAAAGAATAATAATTCTGACAAGAAGGAAAAAAAAGAGCTCAATGAAGATTTACACGAACTTATTAACCAACTTAGATTTCAAGACATGTTTAGAAGGTGTAAATAAGCATGTTGCTTACTACATTTGGGGGAAAAGGTGATCAACTGGAGGAAATAAGGACACTATTCAGAAAAATCAAAGAGAGATGAGGAAGAGATGTTTAAGTTATATTTTACTTTTATGCTCCTGTCAAAAGAATTATAGTCAGCCAGGCACTGTGCTAAATGCTTGGGATAGAAATACAAAAATAAAGACAGTACCTGAGGGCCCTCAAGGAGCTTACAATCTAATGGGAGAAGATAATGTAGAAAAGGAAGCCAAAAAGGGAGGGAGAGGGTGGTTGGGGTGGGGCAGATGGGAAAGAAATCAAAGAAGTCCAAAATTAGTGCAGCTAGGTGGGAGATAAGGAGATTTCTGAGATGTCTCTGTGGGGTTTTCTTTCCTTAAATGGAGGTTGTCCCCCATGTCCAGAATGCTATCTGTCCTCTTCTTTGCCTCTTGGCATCCTTGGTACCAGATACCACCTTCTGAAAATGCCTTTCCTGACTCCCTTCCACACTTTCCCCTCTAAGGTTACCCTCTTCCTATCCTGTATCTATTTTCTATGTATCTATTTCTTTTTTTATAATTATTTTTAGTTTTCAACATTCACTTCCACAAGATTTAGAGTTTTAAATTTTCTCCCTCTCCTCCTCTACCCTCCCTGAGATGGTGTGCAATCTGATATAGGCTCTACTTAAACATTCATATTAAGCATATTTTCACATTAGTCATGATATAAAGAAGAATTAGAAAGAAGAAACAAAACAAAGCAACAAAAGAAAAGGAGAGCAAACAACATCTTTCCATCTGCACTGAGACTCCATCAGTTCTTTCTCTGGATGCAGATAGCTTTTTCCATCCTGAGTCTTGTAGAATTGTCTTAGATCATTGTATTGCTGAGAAGAGATAAGTCTAGAAAAGGCAGTTATTGCACAATGTGGCTGTTACTGTGTGCAGTGTTCTCCTGGC